GCTCCAGCTTATTTTGCACCCTAGGCGAGAATCCCTTCTGCCCCCCCCCCCTCATGTGCCCACCAATTTTCAAAAATAAATGCATTTTAGGAAGAATGAAAAACACAAATAATCAAGAAACTCCCAGAGTACGGGGCCGGGTGCAGTTTGGTGCCCCTAAGGGCCACCCCGCTCTAGGCGATTGCCTAGTTCACCTAGTGAGTGAGCCGGCCCTGGTTCATACAGTAAAATCCAGTTGGAAAGCGCAATGAAAATGGATTGAAAATGGATTATTTAGTGTGCGTGATCGCAGCCTTAATCTGGTGGAAATGAGTAGCCAGGGTAGTCTTTGTGCTCTTTTGAATGACTACTACATGTCTGATACTCTGTAACACTAGATTTTTGAACAACTGCATATGGACCTAAGATACTGGAGAAGGTCTCGGTTGTGTGTGCCGGAATCTCTTAATAGGTCGTAAATTGTGCAGGATTCAAACCAAATGCAGGTCATATATTGATGTCCCTTTGTAGATTGATCTGTATTGGCTTTCTGCAAAGAGGAAGGGACCGACCCTGGGTGGGTCACACATTCTGCCGGCCTGCAGTTCTGGAGCCTGGCCTCCCCCCGAGGACAGCTTAGATGGCCATCGTCATCACTGACTTCTCTTGCCTACTCCTTTAGTTTCTCCCCACAGTCAAACATCTGGAGCTGCCTTACACCAAGGCAGGCTGTTGCCCCATCTCGTTCAGTGGTAGCTTTTCAGGGGCTTGGGCAGAGTTTGGTCTTTCTTTCCCTTAACTGGAGAGGCCAGGGGTTGAACCCAAGTCTTTCCACGTTGCAAAGGAAGTGTGCTGCCACCGAACCACGGCTTCTCCCTTAATGCCTGATGCTTCAAGTTTTATTGATACTGAGGGCCCATTTTATGATTCATTCCCTTTTGTAAACATTACGCGGGTTGAACCGTAGCATATCTTTGCAAATGGGGGTTTGGTACCTTCTGAACTCGAACCTTTCCTCCTCCTCCCACCTGCTCAATTTCAGTTAATACACAGTGAAGTGTTGTGGATGAGAAGGGACCAAGGGAAGGTCTTTGGCTGACGGATCTGATTTCATCCTGCTTTTCAAACTGGCTGCTTATCGTTTAGGGCCCTTTGTGGACGCTGCAAAAACACAGAATTGACAACCTGCTTGGAGCTTGGTACATTCCAAATAACATGCAAATGCTGCATTCCGAAAGATAGTAGACTGGTGATGTTAAATGTTTGTATTCCCTCCTTCTGGCCTCGCAGTGCCTCTCGGGGCAGCTGACAGTAAGATCCAAGCGCAAGACACAATCATAAACATGCTAAAAATGAAAGAATAATGCTCCAGTCCAATTTCATCCACAGCAGCAGAGGCCCAAAGCCCAGGCAGCAACAACAGATTCTTGTAGTTGCTCGCAGTCAGCAAACCAGTCTTTAAAAATCCTCATTGTGGCAACCATATAAGAGTTCAACCTTACCAAGAGTAGCAGCATGAAGGTGTAAAAAGAAAAGCCTCCCAGATGCTCCTGTGCATTTCCTTTTTCTTCCAGGCATTCAACACTTTCATTGATGATATTTTTGCCTTTATCATCACGATGCCAACATCTCATCGGCTGGCGTGTTTCAGAGATGATGTGGTGCTCCTGGTCTACCTTTACCAAAGATGGTGTGCCTTTTTCTTACTTGTGTTCCACAGTTAACTCTTTTGGACAAAAATGAAAAACGTTTTAGTTTCTGTGTGGCCTGCATTAGTGAGGAAAGCGAGCTTCAGATCCTGGCTCGTGCTAACTGAAGTTGTCTGTTGGGGCCAAAGGGCGGGGGGGATTCCATGAAGGAGGCGTTGGGTAGGGGGAGGAAGCCCCCCTTCCCCGGATGCAGAGGGCAGTCCTAGGCAGAGCCGGCCCCCTTCAGAGGTGTGACTCCGCTTCCGACTGCCCTGCTGGCCTCTGAGGGCAGGTGAGGAGACGGGAGGGAGGTCTGCCTGCCTGGGACCCCTCGGCGAGGGCTTGCTCAGTCCCACTCCAGCACTCGTGGCACCATGAAGCTGCTTTGCTTCTCGCTTTTTGAGAAGTTTCTCACAGCACCCTTTTCTGCTTTCCTCCTCAGGGTTTTTTATTCCTCCTTTCATTTCGATTCTTTCAGACAGGGTGTCTGTTGTCGAGTGATTTCTGTTTCCTGGACCCTCCTGTATCTCTCTTGTTTAGGTTGTACACTTGCAGATAGGAATCGCCTCCTGTTTTGTTTTTATAAAGTGCCTGCCTATAGAAATAATAGTGTCACAGAAGACAGGAGCCAGTTTGGTGTTTCCTGAAAGGTCAGGTCAAAAGGGAACAGGCAGCATAGCTGTCCTCTACTCCAGTGTGCACTGGGGCCGCGGTGGCTCAAAGGTTAAGACGCTGAGCTGCAGACCGGAAGGTCGGTAGCTCGGCAGTTCGGGACCCGAGTGTGCCGCATAACGGAATGAGCTCCCCTTTCCAGCCCCAGCTCCTGCCAACCTAGTAGTTTGAAAGCAAGAAATTGCAAGTAGATAAATAGGTACGGCTTTAGTGGGAAGGTAATCACGGTCCATGCGCCTCAGTGTCTAGTCATGCTGGCCACATGACCACGGAAAATGTCTTTGGACAGCGCTGGCTCTTCGGCTTGGAAA